ACTTGACTGCAGCATGCTGCACTTGACTGCAGCATGCTGCACTTGACTGCAGCATGCTGCACTTGACTGCAGCATGCTGCACTTGACTGCAGCATGCTGCACTTGACTGCATGCTGCACTTAGTATGAATGCGGCCACTCAGTCGTATTTGACGTTTCTCTCAAAATCCGTCGCTTGCACACTCGCGCGTCTAATAGGACATTTTTGTTCCTTTCATGTCTCTATTGGGCCTGTGATCAATTGGAAAAGTTAGAAGTATTGAATGTTACGCAAAGAGTTAAGCCAGCGTCGTTGCAAGACCAGAACGAAGTTGACACTACTTTAGAATATCTTTGACGTAACCTGCTGCTCAGGAATGCGGAAGGTAAAGGGCGAAAAAAGAGACAGAAAAAGATAAGATGAAAAGATCGCGGAAATAAGATAAGAAGGAAATATCGCAGTTTCCACTTGGAACTGTTACATACCTTAATTTGTTTCATCCCTTGACTCTAACTGTTGTTCTCGGCCATAAATCCAAAGCAATGTATGAGGCTCTGATCGATCGATCAGTGCGAATGCCCGCTAACTGGAGGGGCGATTAATCAGGGAAACATTAGCTGTCCATCCCGGATTAAGCTTTGCATGAGTGACATGACCTTCGGAAACATAAAAAATTTATTCCATTCAATGATATTCCGTAACAGAGTTTAACAATGGAAAAAATTCAGACTTCAGCAACCCGCTTTGAAGGACGAGGGAGTGCAAGCGCTAGCTTAAGCCATAATCGCCAAGTGTTTTACATAGGAATAAAAGAATCTTTCCTTAATTAGGGCTTTTTCTTGGCGAGTCCCTCGTACTTAGTTTTACTCTTAGAATAAGCGAGCAGAGATCCCAGAGTTGTAGGAGCTATAAGAATGAAGAATACTATCCAGTAGATATATTTGGGAGCAAACTTCCGTTCGTATTCCTTCAAACGGTAAATGTAACCTGGAAAAAGTAAGAATGTTGAACTAGCAAACATGTTCACTCGGGCGATACATTTACATCATCAATCGTACCTTCGCCTGGGGCATTCGTATATCCAACACGTATTTCCATGCTCCCCTCCGATATGTATGATATTTGAGCTGAAGTGTAATTAAAAATCCCAAATTGACGGGGCCTAACCTGAAAAAGAAGGGAAAACCTGTAATCTGCTAAAGTCACCAAACAATGCAGAAGTAAGGATGAAAGCTACTCAGCAGACTTACGACTACTAAATGTGTAGTGTTTGTTCCTGGGCTGATTCGTTCAAATCGGACGTTGAAAAGACCTCTGACTATCTCGAATGATTGCGTGGGAAAGGAGTGACGATCATCAAGATTCACCTGTCAGTTAAGATCAATGCGAGACATAAGAAAGCTTGCCCTCTCATGCACATAACCTCATGAAAAACGGGTGCCACATCTTGAACATCTCCATCACCGAAGATAGTTCACAGTCGAGCACTGGTTTTTCTCTCCCCCCCCCCCCCTGGTCACGCAATATGGTCATTCAAATCATCATTCGCATCATATTATAGAAAAGTTGCTGACCTTCAGAGCAGTTTTTTCACCGATGTTGTACAAATCGTATTGCAAGACAAGGTCCATGTTTTCTACTGCATAAATAGATTGCGGAAACTTGCTAGCAACAAGGAAGGCGTTCTGAAACTTCAGAAAGGTCTAAACAAGAGATTTTCTATCCTCTGATGATAATTTCCGTTAAGATTCGGTCTGGATGTAAACATAGCGTACATAGGTAAAGTGGTAGGTATGTGCATAGTCATACCTACCACTTTACCTATGTTCGGGCTCCATAGACATTCTGAGCAGCTCGGTATTTCATCAAAAAAAAAAAAGAATGTGTCCCAGAATGACCCTTTACCTGAGAAAACACCTATGTTGTACGCAGCCAGCAGAAACGATTTTAAAATTTCGGAAAACGCGTGTCTTTCCAAGAAGGCTAAGTGAAGTACATAAGCACACCAGTATTATAATATTTCCGCATTTATAATATTAAATTAGCACCACACTATACCCCTACATACACGTATTTACTAAAGCCCATAGACTTTTGTGAAAGAGGGAGAAATTTTAAAAGGACAATGTACAGTAATCGCCACAAATGAATTATTGCCTAGAGCCGAGAAAATCTGGCTATAACCCAGATACGACATCGAATTTCCGATCCTGGATTGATTGATGCAACTTGCACCTCTCATATTATTGTGTATCCCCCCTTAATTCGATGCATACCCAGGTTACCGCATTTATACTGTTGTTCCACTATGTGTAGCTAACGTATAACAATACTGCAGCATCCAATACAACCCCCTTTGCTATTAGAAGCTCAGTCTGTTATTCGCACTACTGCTACTTATATCGAACGCAGGTGGAGTTGCGCCAAAGTGGTCCGCTGCACATTCATGGTTCGGGGACCGAATCACGTACCGGTACAAAAAAAGGCTAGTCAGCCTTTCCAAAAAATTGTAGAGTGGAGTACTCATTTGGTACTAGTACCTGTCTCAATACCAAAAGTTTTAGATGAAGGCTTATAGCGACGACCTATACAGCTAGCTATCGAATTTTAAAACTCTCAAAATGACATCGTTAGCTGTAACTGTCGGATAACTGAGAATCTCCTTCACCGAGGGTCCTATCACTGGAGGACCCTAACCGGTTAGCAACGAGGCTGCGTATGGCGAGCTCAGGTGGAGGAGTAAACGGCCGACTAAAAGTCGCAGAGACGCTGTTGAATTCAGGGGATGGGCTCCCCATTTCTGTTGTGCTAGTTCAATATAGCTTCTGTATCTCGTGTACGCGTGTAGAGAGTGTGCTGATGCAGTTGTTATAATGCACATCGACTCAAGTAAAAACTTGCATTCGAGTGACCGGAAGTTATACGGGAGGCAATTGTTGCCGCCCTCAGAATCGAAGTCACCCGTCCGTTCTGAGATGGTTTGCAAAGCGGAGCCAACTCAGCCATCATGTCAGAGCCTGGCAAGCTACTCGTGGGTATTAATATGCCAAAAACAGTACTATAAAGGACCGCCCGGGGGAGGCTGGAATACAGGGCCGAAACAATCTGCTCAAAAGGAGAATGACTTAGACGGCGATCTGTGCTTTCAACGCACGAACGCTTGCGTAGGAAGTGTGTATCGAAGATCTGGTGATGAAAACTAGAAAGGTCAAGTATGTCATCGGAATGATCAAGACGAGAAGGAATCGCCCGCTGCACGCCGTATTGGAGAACGGAGAACTGTTTCTTGGAACATGCGATAGCAGACGTCGGAGGCATAAGTGGCACACGCACTTGACCATGAACATCGACTCGTCAGAATTCTTGACAGCTCAGCTCAGCTAACAATCTTCGCAGATTACGCATCAACATCAAGCTCCGAAGAACAGACTTTGGGAGCGTTCCATATGGACGTGGAGAGCTTCTCGGAAAGGACCACACTCTTCAAGATCATCGTCGGTGATTTTAACACCAAACTTTGCCCCAGGAGAATGGTTAAAGAGCTTCATATCAGAACTAACGGATTGGAATGGAATGAGCAGGATGGGGACTGTCCAAATTCATCATCACACTCCGACGTCCGACTCACACTTACTAACGAAAGTTTGGCCTGAGAGTCTCGCTGTTGGTGTTGAAGTTCTAATTAGGATCAAACCATCGCATCCTCCGCACTAGATTCTGTTTCTGAGTGCGTCGAGAGAGAAATATGAAATTCAATGAACGAAGCCCCGAAATCCTGTCGAAACTTGAACAATTTCGCTTCCCTTGCAAGTTTTTTTTTTTGAGAAGATTCCGTTATTGATAACAGCAACGAAGAATACATCCGGACCGTCAAACATCTTCACGATTGCTAGGAAACCAAAGAGTCCACAGTTTGCGCAGAGACGTCTCTTTTCAAAGACTCTCGGGCCGTAGGCTCGCGTGTAATCTCACGTGCTACGGGCAATCAAACGTTCGAACTTGCGAAGCTATGCAGAGAATCATTGAAGGAAGATCTGAAAGAGAGACGAGCAGTAGTTATGGACGAAGCCACCGAGGCCGGAAAGAGATTGAGTGAGCTCGGAGCTTCGCCAACTACAAGATCAAGATGTAATCCCTTTGTCATCCTGACAGTTACTCGAAGGGCAATGGTGAGGGCCAACAAAATCTTCCACTCGGATCCCTTCTAAAGTCGCGTCTACCTGCCTACCTAACATCTTAAGCCAGACGGATATTTCGCTCCTTCGGTTCGTCCCTCTGAAATTCGACATGCCATCACATAGATGATTGTACAGCGCCCGGTCCAGATAGGATCAAACCAGAACATCTAAGGATCATTTCACCAATTATCGCCAGAACTCTGGTTAGGCACCTGTTGGAATGCACAGTGTCAACGTCATGATAAAATAGCATCTCTGTGTTACTGGATCAGAAGGTAGATCCGGACGATTTCGGCATCTATCGCCCAATCCGCCTACTGTCTGTAATCTACGAGCTTTTCACACACGTCATCCTGAAGGATTGGCAGAATATTAGATGAAGGACAGCCATATGAGCAAGCATGGTTTCCGGGAGAGATCAGTACAATCGATAACTTCAACACCATTACAAGACTCATTGAAGCATAGCGAGAATACAGGATGCCGTTATGTGCGACGTTCTTCGATTTGATCTTTGATACCGTCGAGAGAGAAGCGGTAATATTGGGTTGTAACATAAGTTCGTAGAGTTTTGCGTTAGAGTTATTTTACAACGAGTTATTTTGTTTTTTAGCGAAGTGTATACATTCATTTGAAAGAGCTCTTTTTCCTCTACAGAAATGTTTTATTCGTTTTTAGGATAATTAAATTGTTCGCCTTTTTCCGGCTCAGAAATGGAATATCCAGGAAGAAAAAATTAGCATTTTCGACATCTGCTTTTCTTTGCTTCTTGTCGAGGTCAAAAAAGCAGCCGAAACCGCTTGGGACATATGCAGTGTGAACGGGGAAGGTGTCTTAGGTGTGTCTACTGAAAGGCGTGGGCGGCCCCAGGGAAGGCGCCAAAGCCGAGAATCAAGCAAGATCTTCACCCAAAAAATGGTCATGATCTGCGTTTGGTGGGACTGGGTAGGCATGGTGCACTGGGAAACTGCTCGAACGAAGCGCCACTGTCAACAAGGAGGTCTACATTACCCAGCTGAACAGTGTAAATGAGGCTATTCGGCTGAAAAGACCTTATAGAGGTGGTCAAGTCATCTTGCTCCACGACAACACCAGGCCCCATATTGCTCAAGTCGTCAAAACAGCACTCCATGAGCTTGAATGGGGGGTTCTTCAGCATCCACCGCACTCTCCGGATCTTGCACCTGCCGACTATCACCTTTTCCGCTCTATGTTGAACCCAATGAGGGGTGTTACCTTCGATGGCGAAGGGGACCTTAAAAACTAGCTCAACAAATTCTTCGACACCACAACGGCCGATTTTCGGCGAATCGCCATCAACAAATTGGTCGAGAGATGGGAAGAGGTCGTGAGCAGTAACGGAGGATACATCATTGGTTAATTTATTATTATAATTATTGTTTTTTGGTTAAGATAAATCTTCGTGAAAAAACTCTACGAACTTATGTTACAACCCAATATAAGCACTGGAATAATTGGGGAATACGAATAATTGGGCAAATTACTATTTCAATAAAATCATTCGTGAACTATCATCCCATCATTCTACTGAAAACGCTCCTAGGGAGAACTGGTACTTGCAACGCCTTAAAAACAACAATTGAAAGTGCTCTTCTCTTCCATTGCGTAACTGTGTGTTCAACAAAAACCCACCGTAGACAATTTTTCTAAAAACTAGTAATTATAAATTTCATCGAGATCACTGTCGATGAAGTCATAGAGAACTGATAATGACATATCTTTAAAACAGAACATTCAGTTCCGACGCACGATGCAGAGTCGACAAAACCGGCAGCAGTCAACCATTAAACTAAAGTTCTGCTTTGTTTGAGAAGAGAAGGGTCATCATGCATGGACAACTCCAGAAATCACACAAACAATACAGGAACAAGCGAAAGGACCACATCTGACCGAAAGAACCGAAAAGTCATCCGAACGTAGGAAAGAAGTGATTTTGAGCTCAAAAAAAGGAGCAAGTAGTGTTCATGAGCACGGAAATAACATCTGGAATTACAGTCCAAATTTACTTTATGATTTTCTACAATTAACACTGAAATACTTGTCATATCTGGCATTGGCGGATACACTGAGGCTTTTCTGAGCAAAAGAGTCTCTAGAAAAGTAGGAACAGGTGCAAGAACAGTCTTAGAAAAAGAAGTAGACATTCTAACTCACAAGGGAAGGATCCCAAGTCGAAGTGGCCATTTGAAGTGAGACCTACACTGCTAGACGTATTTTTTGATGCTGATTTCGAATCTGCATTCAAAATCTGCCAAACGATCCTCTGAGCGAAGTTATGGAGGTGGTCTCCGGAGAGCGCTCAACAGGAGAAAGCACAAAAGACATGGTCGCCGGTAGTCCAGCAGTGGCGGCTTGGAGTAGAGGTAAGCGTGACGCTTCATAGGCATGAGACCAAGGATCGGGTTTATTGGGCGACGCTGTTTTTGCAGTTTGCAGGACTTTTTCCTCCGGCTTGTAAAAATCTTTTTATGTTAGTTTGACCGCTTTCGGCGACTTTTTGAATGTTCGAGGTGAATCAGTTCCTGCCAAAACTTCCACTGCGAAATAACCCAGCCGAGCTTTGATAGGAACCCACCGGCGAGTTCCCAAGAACGGGAGTCTTCCATGCTCGAAGGTGGAGGTTCGGGCGAGAAGAGCGCACATGACGAGCAACTAATTGATGCTGGAGTGGGTTCGATCTTGCGTGGCTGCTCCGGACACACCAACATCAATGTTGCTGCTGGTGGACCCTTGGACATCCTTTGAAGATCATGAAGCAATAGACTCGGTACTACCTTCACAAAATCAGTTGAAGGTGATGAACATCCCAGGTGATACTACGAGGTTGATACAGCCGCTGAACGTTTATTTCCTTTTGCCATTCAAAAATATGTACAAACATATCACCGCATACGTATCGGCTCTTAATCTCGAGTTTTGCGTTTATACTCGCGATTCAATTCTTCGATTACTGCCACTTTTGTGTGCTTCCAATTCTGTGCTCCTCGGTTCAAGAAGTTTCTCTCTTACCCATTGCACGCTGCCGGCTTCTTGAGCACATATTCAGGTGATTTTGAGACACCTATACAGTTCTGTTTTCCATCTGGTGCAGTAAGTGATTTTGAAGGAATAGCCTGCGGCGAAATTTTTTCATTCGTTGCGCTCATTGTGAGAAACTTTATTTTACGCTTTATTCCGTGCTAGATAATTACATCTGCTATAACAGGCAAATGTTATCCTGCAGTGAATTTGAATTGTATAAGAACAAAATTTTTATCATGTTGGTGGTCAGACTAGATGTCAGACGGTCTGAGCAGGAACTGATTTACCCCGAGCACACTCAAAAAGTCGCCGAAGGCGGTAAAATTAACATAAAAAGATTTTTACAAGCTGGAGGAAAAAGTCTTGCAAAATGCAAAAACGGCGTCCCCCACCAAACCCGTTCCTTGGCCCATGCCTATCAAGCGTCACGTTTACCTCTACTCCAAGCCGCCACTGCTGGACTACCGGCGACCATGACTTTGTACTTTCTCCTGTTAAGCGCGCTCCGGAGACCACCTCCATAACTTCGCTCAGGGAATCGTTTGACAGATCCAAAATCAACATCAAAAACTACGTCTAGCAGTGTAGGTCTCATTTCAAATGGCCACCTCGACTTAAGATCCTTCCCTTGTCAGACCAAACCGATATCGTTGAGAGACTTTCACCAGCCAAACCGATGAACACAGAAAAACCGTTCACCACCGAAATCAATGACCACAAAAAACATCAGGCCTTGCAGTTATTAATCGGGTTCATAAAACTGCACTTATCTACGGACTCCCAAGACTTACTAACTACCAAGGGTTCCCGCGTAACAAAAACCTTATTTGGCCATATTATATACGGCCGCAGACCTGAACCTTACTGAAGAATCGAAATATTCAGCCCGGTCTATGATAGCCGCAGAGAATAGAAACAAAAAAAGAAGAAAAAAGAAAGAAACTCTATAAAAATCCGAAGGATTAGAAATATCAGACAACAAATTGCGCCCAAAAGATAGGATCCCCGTCGTTCATAAATGGTCAACAACGATTTCATGAGGTAAGAGCTACGTAACTGCCCCGTTCTCTTTCGGGAGTATAGTGGGTGCAGAAAATGAAGCTGTCGGAAGCTGTAACGCGACCCAGGCAATTGTATAGGTTGATGCATATATTTTTCCACCCAGTTTGATCCTTCCGTGTTTCGTTTGCATAGGTGATGGTATTTCGTCATCATGCCTGCGTGAAGTGCGCTTGATACTCTTTCATCACACTAGCCCACACTATTACTCGCCCATCCTGCATTTGAAGAACACAATGCCGCACAATTTTCACAAGTTCGTCGCAGAGGGTGAGGTCAGCAAGGCACTCGACGACTTCTTCGAGTCGCTGCCCCCTTCTTCTGGGACAATGGAAACGACTGAGCGTTGGCGTCGGGCTGTGGATGGTAATGTTGCACACCTCTAATCTCCAAGCTGTTCGCTATTGAGATAATAACAAAAAAGTCGGGAGAAAGAACTCATGCATCAATCTATAGAAGCACTAAAATAACATCCAGAGCTGAAAAAAGTGGCCCTGCAATATATGGCGGGACTGTGAGAGTGCGAACAATGTGGAAAATTAGATGGTAAGGAAAAGAACTCGATGCGCTGAACTATCGCCTCACTAGAGGATATGGCTCAAAAAAATCCTTGCCCATAATGTATAATGCGTTTTCAAAACGGAAACGTCAATTGGGACTCAATTATGCTACGCAAAAAGGAGAAGCGTACATATACATAGATAAAGTTTGTGATATATTAGATGCTAGCGGAACGAGCGAGATCGTCCTGCTATGCGACATAGAAGCGGCTTTTGTCGTGTTGCATAGACTTGCGCAGCTTCTCAAAGTAAAAAAAAAAACGCTGGCTATCTTGCGACAAAAGATAATTTCTGCGAACAAGAACCAAAGGCGTTTCGCTTGGGATCAAACCATGCCACTGCATCTTGGTCACGTATAACTCGTAGTCCCAGGAACAAACTTTTCCAATAGGGAATCGTAAGTACAGTAACAAACCTTTATGAAAGAAGTGAGGAACCTTTAGTTCGACATCATTGCTATACGCTGGGAGCCCGCGAGACGCCCACACCAAATAAAAGCGGTCAAAGAGTGTTCTGATCAAATACATCGCCCGTGCACCTTTCTCATGAGCCAAAACGACAAAGCCTTATCAGCGACGTAACTAGACATCTTTCACCTTAACTGTAACTTACCTAAAGCCAAATGAAAGCGTGATGCCTCCCTCCCTTGCTTACCTATATCTCTCCAACATAGTTCGCCCGTGCGTGTGCTCTGGATTTAGGGTAACTATAGATGCCCTTAAGGTTTCTGAAAACGAAAGGTTTTGGTGTAGAGTGATGGAAGGGATATAGGTGCGTGAAATAGT